ATCTTTGAGAGAAAACAATGCTATGTTTCCTAAAATCTTAATTTAGGAAATACCTATTAATGTTTATGTAGTGATCAAAATCAAATCCACATTAGGATTTGATACAAACAGTTGATTTGGACCCAGCTGTAGTGAATTATCAAAGTAACATCAACTGGGAAATATATGCGATAATGTTTTGATAGTAGCCAAGGCCAATCTAATTTGTCCGACGTGACAAATGTATGTTTTGTTTTGAACATATATCAGTAGATTGGTCTGTCGGTACAAATGAATTACTTCCTAACTTAGGTAAGCATGTGCAGCTTAGCACACATATTGGATAATCCATTATTTTCAGTCACCTTTCAAAACACACATGGACTTACTATGAGACACTCTATTGAATTGCAAGCTTACATTTACATACCGTACCACAGACAAAATGAGGAATAAGTATTTTGTTCATCCTATCTGTGACCGCATGAATAACATTTTCCTAACTGATGTGGTAATCACTCTTTGCTTACCACCATCTTTTATGCAAACCATGAGTAAAGTCTTTCCTCGTCAGTCTATAGAATTGCTCCGTGACGACCTTGAAGTTGCTTACGTTTTACAAATGTAGCAATCTTTAAAAAAAATTAGGCATCTCTTGTAAATTGATAGATTGTTAGGAAGGTTCCTGTTGAATTTAGTTATACAATCACACGAATAATCTTCCTATGCCCAAGTTCAACCAGGGTACGACATTGACATCACTGGTTTGAACAAAGATCAGATTCATAACTAAACCAACTCAAGCAATAGTTTGTGAGTTTTCTTCTATTTTCACAAACTGACAAGACTTTAAATTTAAATCAGGAACATAATTTGTGCTAACCGTTCATTTTGGAAGTTTCACTATTCTATTTCTTGAGCAGAAAATTACCTTAGCTTTACTATGCTCAACTTCTTCTTTAGTCTTATGGCAAACCAGTAAAAAACTTAATGCTGATAGGATTAAAATTTCCAAAAGGGTTGAAATAAAAATCAAAATTTCGTTATAAAAAACAATTTAAATATCACAATACTTATTCGAGGGGAGTATCTACACGAGGGGTGAAATCACTATTAACAACAAAGTTAGGCTTTGCTAAAAGAGAAACTAAATCCGTCCGGCGCTCTGTTGAGACTCAGTTTGCCAGGAGGGAAGAACCTGTGAGGGGCTGGGGTGGGGTCCACGGGGGCAGACCACCTCTGGGGTGCGGGGGTGGGGTTGTAGACTGGGGCAGGGGTAGGGTTAGCACTCCACTGCTGAGGAGCGGGGTTGGACCAAGTTTGAGGAGCGGGGTTAGCGTTCCAAGACGGCTGAGCTGGGGTGTTCCATGTCTGAGGGGCAGGGTTGTTCCAGTTGGAGGGTGAGTTGGGGGGATACTCCACCTTGGTGTCGTCTACCCACTGGCCGTCGTCCTCCTGCGTGCTGTACTGGGGTCTGACCGGAGCTGGGGCAGGGTTGTAGCTCTGCTGGGGAGGGTTGTAGCTCTGCTGGGGAGGGTTGTAACTCTGCTGGGGAGGGTTGTACTGGGGCAGCGGGTTGACCACAGGAGCAGGCACGGCTGGGAGATGATCACCAGTGGGGACGAAACCGTTCTTCCCGGCGACGTAGGAGATGGTCCTCCTCTGACCTGACGGGTCGATGTAGCTGTAGCTACCGCGCCGGGTACCGTCGGCGTCACTCTCCTCCTTGAACTGCACGCCGTCCTCCTGTTGGTAGGCGGCGCCGAACTTGCCGTCGACACTCAGGTAGCGTTCCTCCTTGAGGATGGCGGCTGTCTTCGGGTCAACGTACTGCTGGGCCCGACACAGCGCCATGGCGCAACTGAGCAAGACCTGGTAGGAAACATGTGAGTTAGTGGAGTAAAATACAACACATTACACAACATTAGAATTCTTCGTCAACCGCCACAAAATGATGTTTTCGAGAACCCTTACTTGGAGAAGATACTCAGTGGATGGGCTGAAACGGACACAGAAAGCCACTACGGATTCTAAAGACGCCGATCAAGGACGTATACAAAAAAAGTAGTTGGGTGTTTCATATATACATACTGTATTTTTTTTATTTTTTTTACCCACCAACTGCCCATCTCTGTAGATCTAGTGGAATGTGTGACAGTGATATTACAGGCCTACTATTATGAAAGTTTACTATATTATATGTCACACAGGTGAGCCAGTAGAGGATGCAGTGATAAAATAATAAAAAAATAATTAAATATTATTAATAAAATCTATATAAATACAAATGAATCCCTTTTGTTATGGTATTCCATAACTCGAGAACGAGTGCGCCAAATTGGATGATTCTGTTTTTTGTTGTGTTCCATAGTGCCAGGGGAAGGTTTTTATGTAAGAAAATTTATAATCCACCCATCCGTTATTTTGTAATTTGATTTTAAAGATTCCAAAAAGTTGCCTTTACATTAACATTGGAGGAAAATGTTTTTATTAAACTGCTTGATACAATAACATCTGTTAAAAAATGTAATTTTCGACCAGGACGTGATTGAGCGATGCGAACGACCTCATCTTGAAAAAAAAAACGAGCATTTGACATAAAACCACATTAGGACAGGACGACGTCTGTCGGGCCAGCTAGTACAATAATAATAATAAAATCATAATAAAGTAGAAGACGGCTGTTCTTTGGACTTAAACCAGCCACCTCTAGATGAGCTGCCACTAAGCTATTGTTCAGAATTAGACAGTGACCTCGGTACTACTAATATTAAAGCTAAACAGGTGATTAATCCCTCTGTACCTGGTTATAGACTATTTTAGGTGGGGATAAATACGGAGAAACTACAAAAACAGTCTATGAATCTTTATATATGAGAAGAAACATATTGTTTGACACATCAATTCATAGTGACACAGAGGTAAAACTTGAAGTGTAATTGGTTTTTTGAAAAGATTATTTGTAAGAATAGGCTCAAGCGTATGAATTTAATAGTATCTGAAAAATTACTTTCTTCCTTATGAATAACAACAAAGTTGATTCATTCCACTATGATTGTAAAGTTCATATTGTTGTTCAGTTGAGTGTTTTGAAATCTTCAACATTTTAAAATAGTTATTATAATACAGTGATTCGGCTCAAAGTATGAACAAAACAAATCCTAACCCTTACATGAGCAATGTTTGTTTGCATGTATGTATGCAAGCTTGTATGCTTGCTCGCACAAAGATCTCGAAAACGGCTTCGACGATTTCCTTCAAATGTAAAAAAATACTTCTGGCCTAGAAACGTATTTGCAGTTAAAACCGCCAACAAAAATCTAATTACGTAAAAAATGAAATATAATTCATCATTTTTTAACACCTTATGGGTTGCTAAGCAAGCAATCATGTTGGTTGAACAAAATACTGATTAGTTAACTTGGCTCTCTCCTACAAACTTAATCCCCAAGTAATCAGCTGTTTTAATTCAATCAAAATGTCAAAACAATGTTTATGCAAGTATAGGCTATTGTTCTATTTCATATACAAGAATATTATTCACACATCTTGCTTCAACAAACTCTATTTCCAAACTCAACCAATGTTTACCAAAAACATGTTTACAAAAATCATCTGACAACAAAACATATTTAAACACAAATAAATTATATGATAAAAAGAATTGATTTAATACAACATAAACGAGTGATTTCACAATCGATGGTAATAGTATATTTCATTACTAGGACCGAAAGTGGCATTTTCCGTCGCGCGCTCAAGTTTTTGTGTGAGGCGAAGCTGAACACAGGGAACCCCAATTTCACGTGCGAGGCGAAGCCGAGTATGTGAGAGCTATCTTCACGTACGAGGCGAAGCCGTGGACGGGAATAATGGAGCAAGTGCCGGATAATAACTTTCGGTACGAGTTATGAACGATACTTTTCATCACGACGCAAAAATAACAAACACAGATTAGCAGACCTCATTAATATTAAAACTATTGTATTTCTCAATTAATTTGGTTGAACGTCAAAATGAAATACAATCTTCTAAAAGGAATCCTACGTATATCTCAACAAATTTTGTTTAAACATGAAAATAAATTAATAAAGCAACTTTTAACAATACATACAGCTGATTCAAATCATTAAATGAAACCGTAACAAAACACTAGCGCGCGTAGAGAATAAATGGAGAACTAATTGAGAGCGAGGGAAAGTAAATTTAGAGCGAGGGAAAATCAGCTGATCGATTTTCCCTCACCCTAAATTAGAGCTTGGGAAACGACTACTTTCATTGATGTCAGCTGTTATCGAAAATAGTTACTTTCGTTACGGAGTGATGAAAAATAAATTAGTGTGTTGTGGATTGCCAGGTTGAAATTTCCATCATAATAAATTGAAATTCCCCTGAATCTTAAAAAATAAAAACCAAAATTAGTTGTAAATAAAACGTGAGTTTCCTTTATATTGATTTTACAATCAAAATAAACTACACCGAGCCATGACTTGGTCCCCATGTACTATTCTTTAAATAATCAATGATAATTACCTAAGACTTTATAGGCATAATTATGATACTCTAAAATAGTAATACATTAGGTTGTACAATAGAAAATCTTCGTTTATCATGGTAAGCTAACGGTAACAGTTACCAATCAAAATATCTAAGGCCAATTGGTCTACGTTGGTAAATCAAAATCTAATAAAAATAAACTACTTGCAGAAACAACGGGGATGTCATTACGAAGCCAAATCCAATTCCCTAATCCAAGTTACTTCTAAAGCCGGGGTTTGAAGTCAAGTTAGTCTTTTGATTAGAAAATGATACATTTATTTTTACATGCATTGATAATAAATAAACGTTTTCAGAATTTGGTAAAACTGAAAGTTATAAACACGCAAAAATGTATCGATTAGCAAATTAGTTTGGATGTGGAAGTAAGATAATAAAAAAATAGTGAATATTTTTAAGTAATCAGTAATCAGTAAAGTACTTACTATCCTGTACATGACGACGACGGGGAGAGTGTGAGTGTGATGACGTCTAGATTGTCTTATATACCAGGAGACCCTCGCCTTGATTCCAAGGTCCTGGAGTCTACCTCCTGCCTAACGCTGCCCCTAGGGCAACTTCCGGTAGAGCATGCCCTTTGGACGCCCCAGGATCTCTCCAGGTGCTTTGGTAGATTTTGTACTATTTAAAACCCGCATTTACGGAAATAATTTAGAAATTGTAAAAGTAACGTTTTAAAAAACCGAAATTTAAAAAAATACACCCTTGTTAAAATTGAGTAATAATTTTGTCAGGAATGTTTTTTAGGAAAGTAATTAAGAATTTGTTTCATTAACTATTCAATAACTATGAGTTATTAGTTTCATCATATATTAACATATTATAGCAGAATATGAAAGATTTTATGCACGTTTTGTGTCGGAGAACGCTTGGGTACACTTGTGCACCTTCAAAATTTGAATAAATACCATGGATAAATAATACGAATATGTGAACATCTTGGTTTACATAATTTTATCCTATCCATCCAAGAATTACACTTTAAAAAATTTGGTTGCTGTTGTGAACGGAAAAACAAGAGGTCCAATTTTGTAACAACTGTTTTAAGGCTAAACTTGAAAATTTTGTTCAAGCTACGTTATTAAAATTTGCTATATTTGTACACATTTTGATTTACAAAGAATGATAATCGTGGATTACAGTCGATATACTGTAAAAATGTACACAACGCTGAAATATATACCACAGAAACCAACTAGTTCAAAAATTGGTTACCAACCAACGAAAGCAAACAAGAAAGAAATAATCATATTACTAGTGGAACCCCGTCGAAATCGACGGTTAATCTTGAGGTTTAATGTAAATTCAGCTAACTGCGATAGATAGAGTGAAGTCATTAAAATCTTAGTTAAATGAAGGGAGGATAAGCATAATAATAAGTATGACGAATGTGTTCCCTAAAAAAAGTGATTGATGAATTCGTTTAACACAATATTACCTACCTTTTTATTGGCTTTAGGTTGTCCAAAAGGTTTTTAGGAGTCTTATAATTGTTTGTTCATGAGTTTGTTTCATGTCAAGGCCACTTTCACTATATGGGAGAATGAGTTCATATAATTAGTCTATCATGTTATGGAAAGAGTCAATATTTATTACTAACAACTAATTCCATCTGCTTTAGGAAAATCATTTAGATTGTATCCGGATTTATAAGTAAATCTTCATCTATGGTCATAAAAATACAGAATTTTATCTGCATATTAAATCAGTTTTTTTTTTTTGATAAAAAATATCTTATTCTCCAGAAAGCAGTAACATTCTTACTTCGAACTAAGCAATTTTAATTCCTTCTCTTGCCACATCGACCCATGTATTTAATCATCCTGTTTTTACTTGATAATTCATTAACTTATGGGGTAGTTTTTCCTTGGCTATATCGATCACATAAAGAAGTGCATGTATTTCGTTGATGGAATGAACCATAATTGTAGGAAAGTTGATCACACATCTTGAACATTTGTGGAACCAAAGCCATAACCTAGTCTAGCCTTGGTAACAAATTATGCAAATGCGATGAGATGTGATGACACTGTTGGGTTTCCGAATGTTCTGTGTACAGTACATGTGTACAAAAACCCTGTACACATTCTTTTTAATACCTGAATTGACATTAGTTCACCTACTTCACCAAAACCATAGATGAATGAACACAGCTCTCACCCTCAACGTACTCATCTATGACACAATTTTCAACCCGATTATCAAAAAATTTTATACCAATAAATGAATTTCTGGAGTTCTTTCTTGAATTAAAAAATAAATGGTGATTGAAAGTAGGCAAAAAAAGGCAAGTGCCAACCTTACAATATATATAAGCTAACCCGATAAGGAATACTTATATGTTCCTTTGAAATTGATATGTCATACTTATTTCATAATTTAAAATTTTCTAAGATTAATAAAGCATTGATTTTTGATCAACGCATTTAAAACGTATCATAAATTTATCATTTTGTTGAAACTATAAAAAACTTGCCATGCAGTGGAGAATCTAATAATGTAAACATTTAATTTTGACAGTTTCAGTAGACCTTTGAATATTTTAATAGTAACAGCTGGTTCATTAAAAATAGTGTAAAATTATCCATATGGTCGTAAAGTAAACAAAATTGCTGAGTGAACTTTAAAGACCTCTGGGGCAGAGCCCCAAGGAAATTTACCTCGTTTCTCTTTGGAGGGCTCACCTACAGACCAATACCTTTCTTTAGAGACCCCTACCAAGTTTCTACACAAAGCCGTTCTCTCAAATTAGCTGTGACAAAAACCCCGTTTTCCTCCATAAGAATAACATGGGATGGGAATTTAAAGGCCACTGGGGCAGAGCCCCGAGGGAATTTACCACGTTTCTCTTTTGATGGCTCATCTACAGACCAAGACCTTTCTTTAGACACCCCTACCGAGTTTCTACGCCCAGCCGTTCTCTCAAAATAGCTGTCACAAGGAAAAACTGTTTCAAATTAATATATAGATTGTAGAGTGATTAATTTATCATAAAACCTTTATCATCATATGTTTATCATATGTTTCACTTGGTAACTGATGAGCTGTAAACAGTAGTGCAGCCTTTTGTGTATTCTTTGTTGTCAATTGGATTATTATTTACATCACAACATACAAATGGTTATTGCGTTATGCTAATGGTAATCATTCTCGCGAAGAAAACATGTTTGTACCCCATCCCTTGGCGAAAGCTGTAGAATTAACATATTACTGAAGGATAGAGTTTTAATCAGTCTTCCAACACCCGAAGTCTTCCAGCGTGTACAAATCATTATATAACAACTAACAAATAGTACCTTTTCGTTTTTACCATTAATCTATCGAAAATTAGGTAAATTTACAATAGTTGCGAAAAGATAATTTTGGCCACTCTACTGTGAAATGGCCTGTTTTCGTTAAACGGTTTATACCTGCGAAAATTCATCATTGCATTCTTTACTGCCGAAAATAGTATAATTCTTAACGTAGAATCACATGTAAAACACTATTTCGCCCCGAAATGAGACTTTCGTGACGAGTATTGAACCATACTTTTCATCACGATGAAAAAACTACTTAATCAAACTTTAAAAAATCTAACTAATATTTTGTAATCTATTCATTTGTCTAATCTTAACTCAATACAGCTGTAAAATTCAACTGATTGAACATTAACAAACTGTCAAAGATAACCGGGAACTTCAGTTGTAACTTTGTTGATATCAGGCAAAGTATTGTTTGTGTAGCGAAAGTAATGATGTCAAGAAAAGTCAGCTGATCACTATTTGTTTTTGGTGTATGGAAATTGAAGATTTTCGAAGATCTCACTCAACTGTATTGAAATGGGCTCATTTTTAATACAGAGTGATGAAAATAATATTTACTATATTCTTGGATTTTGCCGACGTAAACAAAGATTTGTTATTGTTTTGCCAACTGTTTCACTTTTCCTCAAACAAAACTGTACAACCAAAGTAAATATTAATTTTAAATTGAATTAAAGGCATAACCTAAAAATGCTATGAGTTTGGGTCTAATTACTCACTTTCTATTCTTGTTATGAAATATACTATAATATTTTGACTATCAGAGAAGGCATTCCATCTAATTTTAAAAACCTGAGTTCAATTGAGCATCTGGTAGATTGTTGAAGTTTGCAAGTACAATGGTAACGACGGTGGAAGTGTGACCGTTGACATTAGACAGTGCGGCACGTGAACATGTGAGTCCACCACAAGGACCTCAGGTTCAAGGCTACACCTAGACTGTCCACACTTCTAACTCTGATCCTATAGGCGGATATAACCAGAAGAATAGAGGTGTTATTGTGAACTTGAATTTTTAACTCCCAAATAGTGAATGATGACAGTAACTGAACAGTAACTGTATAATTGGGTTTGGTGGAAGATGGTGGTTTTATCGCTTTCACTAAACAGGGTGTCCAGTAAGTCAACGCCAATCCCTGGGAAATGTTTTCATGGACCAAAACCAAGAGAAAATTACGAATGGGATTTTTCCTAAGCGCTTTGTTAACCATCCTCCTTTCCGTATTTCTTACATGAACATTTTTATCTTTAATTATATACTATTTTTGAAACGTGGTATGCAGTTTAAGGTAGAAGAGGCCAATGTTAAAAAAATTACTTGCTCTGATCTGACAATTTTGAATTGTGGTTATTTTGACTTTTATTACTTAAATTACAAAAATGGCTGATTTTACGAAAAAATGTCAGGAACACTTTTCTTCAGGATTTAAAATGTACTAACATACTCCAAGTCCAAAGATCGAAAACAATAGCTGAAATAACACGATTTTCGTTTTAAAATAAGGCAAAATAAGGAATGCTACGATAGTCAGAGTGCACCTCATTATGCCTTTTAAAATCGTGATATTTCAGCTACCAGTCATTGTAGAGAGGCTTGGCTGTCACCGAATAATTATGGTAAACGTCTTTATCTTATGTGATATCAATATATGTGATTGATGTAATTGTTTCCGTACACTATTGGATGTTGTTAGGTTCTTTTGGATGCATTGTCAAGTAGAGTTTGAAAAGTAAGCACACTTGCGACTTGCGAATCTCTTATAATTAAATCATGTAGACGCATTATTTTAAAACATCCATCGACGCCAGTAATATGCCGTAGGCTGCCTAGGAGATTTAAATCCGTTACACGAATTAAGGAAAATAATTGTCTTTGTTTTAAACAAATTGAAAAGTTAAGTTTAGTATCTAAAATGAGCTATGGGTGTGTAGGATAATTATTTTATAGAGCAGATCTAAAAAACCACATTTTCTCATCCGCGTCCTTCTCCCGTTGCGAAGCACGGATAAAGCGGAAAATGATCTAAACGTAGGTAATAAAAATTTATTTGGATGTAGGTAGTTAATTTTGGATGGTAAGGATTTTATGGGTGTAGCACCACTAAATAAAATAAAATTGATCTTTGCTAACCAAATAAATGCAAAAAGGGAAAACTTATGTTTTTATCGCCAGTGTGATGAACGCAACGAACGCTACGTCAATCCAGAAACGAGGAAGTTTTTGTGAAGAGTTTTGGGTGTGTCAGCCAGGAAGGGAACCGGAGCACCTTCGGATGGTACTTCCAGGATCGCCGCTGCTGCGTCATCACTGACTGGGACTGGAGGAAGCCACCAGGTAAACAAAAACAAAAAAATAAACTTCAGAAATAGTTATTTGTGTAACTAGTGTGGGAGTGCAGCAAAGGCAATTTGCGCTTGTGTTACACATTATATTTTTCCTACTGTTACTATAAAGCATGGAAATACTCAGTCTTTCAAACACTACAACACGTTTTTAGGTTAGGTTAAATCCATGAACGAAATGGGAAACAACTGCACCAGCTGATCGAAGTCGTAGTATCTAAAGTGTTGCCAACTTATTTTCAAGAGTACAGGTATTACGTGCCTCATAAATTGTAACTGTATTGTGTTGTTTGGTTGGAATACTGGTGTGCGGAAAAAAGCAAAAAGAGCGCGACAAAAGTAAAAAGGGTGCGGTAAATTAAGTAAATGCAGCAATTAGCAAATTTCTGTGATATAATCAGTGAAAGGAAGCCCACTTTGTCAGGTGACTGTAGGAAAACTAACTTAGTTGTACAAACGTACAATTCGTGCTGCAATGGCTGAACTTTTATTGGCTGTCATAATATGAAATTAGGCATTATATTAACATTTTGTTTTCCACATTTTTAAGTTTTTTGCAAAATTTAGTTTTTTATGAGAACAGTCCAATCCTTTGTCCAAGCATTCCGTTATATTTCTCTGTTATACCGTATATTTCATAAACAAAAGAATATAAAGCATGAGTCCCTTGAACAATAATGGCCTAAATAAAAAACCTTAAAGTTTTACGAACACTCTTAAGGCCTGATACAAAGTAAACTACAGCCTTATTGCAATGTGCTATGTCAGTAATTAATACTGTTACTGTTACTGTTTCACAGCCACACCCGGTGTACGGTATAACAGTACAAGAGACCAGGTGTAGTGGAGGGGATGACCTTGGGCTGATCTCAAGGTCACTCTCACTGCTGCAGAAACAGCTGATCGCCCATCTTCTTCTTCCTTTCTCGATGAAAAGGTAACAGCAATAGTTTTAGTTGCAGTTTCCAAAACAGGTTACGAGTGGGTCGATGCTTTACGCGGTTGATTAAATAACCACATTCTATAATATTCAAAATTCGGTTTAGATTTTGAACATTTTTTGTTGCGCGCGGTGTACGTTATTGTTTTTTTCTAACAACGTAACAATTTGACTACAATCTAAACGGAAAGTTTTAGCAGTAACATTTAATTGACCTTTTCCTAGTGTCACCTGACAAAGTAGCCTTCCTTGCACTGATTATAGCATAGAGTTACTAATTGCTGCATCTACTTACTTTTGTCGCATCTACTTACTTTTGTCGCACCTACTTACTTTTACCGCACACTTTTTACTTTTGTCGCACAGTTTTTTTTTTTTTTGCCGCACACCAGTATTCTAACCAAACATAAAACAGCGTGCTTTTATTAGGCACGTAATTCGTGTACGCTTGAAAATAAGTTGGCAGTACTTAAAAATATTACGACTACGATCAGCTGATGCAGCATTTCCCATTTCGTTAACTGTTTGGATTCAACCTAACCTAAAAACGTGTTGTACAGTGTTTGAAAGACTATTGTAGTGACAGCTGACAGCTTGTTTAATATTATTCATTTAATTTGCTAACAACACATGTTATGATTATTGTTTGTTGTTTATATTTGAGTTGTTACCTAGTTACATAAATAAAAGGTTGTACATTTTTCTTGTAATTATTTGACACCGCTACACTTATGATTTATATGCTTTATAGTAACTATAGGAAACATAATGTGTAACGCGAGTGCAAACCTTAGTTTTTCCAGCACTCATGTTTTGTAATTTTTTTAACTTCTGCTTTTTTAAGGTCACAGTAAAATCCCTTGTTACTGTATAACGTCTACATCTTTTAACATCATCAATTCGTAGAAAAATGACTATGGCATCTTGCTCCTGAATCGAACTAGCAGCTTTCAGGTCTTGAGGTAAGCACTAATATCACTCGCCAACCAAGAGTGTATAATTATTTGTGTTATTGTAGCCTAGACAACTAGTACAACTCTATTTTACAAATACATGCACTCCAATAAAATTGAATGTGGTTCAATAGTATCCCACAGTGTCGTGCTGGTCTTCTAGAATACTTGGGATATTTCCATAATGTGACAAGGAATGCCGTGTCGCTTGGACGAAGTCAAGGATTTCAAAACAATCGGCCATTAAACCTTACAGTCTTGTCCAGTTAATGTACAAACCAATAAACTTGTAATAGCAAGTAGATAGAACAATACCCCGCCGCAGCAAACCTGCCGACTAAGCGAATTTCCAGTTGCCTGGATTGATTTTCAATTAAATCTATTTAATTAACATTAGGTTTTATGAGTACATAGGCTTGCTGCTACAGGGAGGGTAAAAAAGTGTGTTTTTTGGTAAAATATTAAAAACTTAGTATAAAATAAATAAATTTACCAAGTTTGATCAAGTACCACTCTGTACAGATTTTTTTTGGCCAAAATGTATACAGGGTGAATAAAAAGTCAAGACCCCCCCCCCTCTAATATTTTTCCAAGTAAATATACAGAGATATCCTTTTGGCGGTCAAGCAATCTTAGCAGGAAGTTTCATTTTATAATTTTGAAATTTTTGAGTGCCCCCCCAAAAGGGGGGATTTGGGGGGCAACTCAAATATTTTAAATGTAAACCCCCTTCAAGTGACACCTCATTTTGAAGAGTTTACAAAAACTTAAAGAATGGTGAAAACTAGAGGTCGTTATCTCTTCTCTATCCAAAATGGTAGCCCGTCAAATGTTGTGGAAAATCAACGGTAAAATTGTTAATATTGGCTGCCATTTTTGGATAGAGAAGAAATAGCGAGCTCTGGTTTTCACCATTCTTTAAGTTTTTATAAACACTTCAAAATGAGGTGTCCCTTTGAAGGGGGTTTCTATTGAAACATTTTTAGTTGTCCCCCGAATCACCCCTTTTGGGGGACACTCAAAAATTTTAAATGTAAACCCCCTTCAAGTGACACCTCATTTTGAAGTGTTTACAAAAACTTTAAGAATGGTGAAAACCAGAGCTCGCTATCTCTTCTCTATCCAAAATGGCAGCCAATATTAACAATTTTACCGTTGATTTTCCACAACATTTGACGGGCTACCATTTTGGATAGAGATAGAAACCTCTAGTTTTCACCATTCTTTAAGTTTTTGTAAACTCTTCAAAATGAGGTCTCTCTTGAAGGGGGTTTACATTTAAAATATTTGAGTTGCCCCCCAAATCCCCCCTTTTGGGGGGGCACTCAAACATTTCAAAATGATAAAATGAAACTTCCTGCTAAGATTGCTCGACCACCTAAGGGATAAATCTGTATATTTACTTGGAAAAATATTAGAGGGGGGGGGGGGGTCTTGACTTTTTATTCACCCTGTATAGCGTTATTGCTTAGGTCAAGACAAACACATTTCACCATAGGAACATGGGTCTGTGGTGCCTAGTTTTCCGTCTGTCCGTATTTATGTGATTTTTACAAAAGAATTAATAACTCCTAAACGGTTTGAGATACAGCGTTAAGATTTTTCATAAATGTTAATCTTATTACGTCCTATCTTTGCTTTGTTTAAAATTATACTAAAAAATCATTCACCATTTGAAAATGGCAGACATTTAAAATATTTTATGCAAAATTTCACGAAAACATTGCAAGACACAAAAAAGTTAGTAAATTTTATGTAGTTTATGTAGTGATATCTTATTTGCTAAAATTGGATAAATGATAACTGAAAAATATCTTCTTTCCCAAATACATGGCCACTATTCTCCATTAAACAATGCTAATACTTGTTTTACATTGTCTAAATAATGAAAAGGCTAATGATTTATTAGTATAATTTTAAACAAAGATAGGACTTAATAAGAAAAACATTTTTTGAAAAATCTCAACGCTGTATCGGTATCTCAAATGGTTTAGGATTTATAATTTTTTGGTAAAAAAAAAAAACACATAAATACCTACCGATGGAAAACTAGGCACCACAGACCCATGTTCCTATGGTGAAATGTGTTTGACCTAAGCAATAACGCTATATACATTTGTCCAGAGAGTTACGGGACACCCTGTATACATAACCACAGTGCGTCGTCTGCGCAATAGTTATTATCACAGACAATAGGTTATTATTAAATATTATACGTAATTATTATACTATAAAATATTTACCAGAAGTGTTTAACAAATCAAACTGTTACTAACAGCATGAATATTTCTATTAGTTACATCAACTTTAAATTACTCATCAACTTTAGAACTCATAGAAAATTACGACTTTTATTAATTTTAAAAGCAATCCTGTATAATACCGGCAGCCACATTGATAACTTCTTGATTTCGAGCACTCATAAAACTTATGACGATTTTTACTTTTAAAGTAATTCCTTCCTATATAATACAGGAACTTGACAATTACTTGATTTCAAGCAACAGGTACACTTAGTAATTTTATATGACAATCAGATAACTCAACATATTTTTAATAACTATTGTAAATTAAAAATTCGTGTTTTATGTAAATAATTATTAATGAAAAATGTATCTTATAAAAGCGGTACAAATGGATTATATTTCTAAAGTCACTTAAATAAATAAGTTTTACTAACTCATTCATTCTGTGGACTTCAAAATTTTCCCTTCCGTCGCTATTAAAACATTGGTAACGCAATCGCATAGGCATAATCATAGATTAAACATCATCCTCCGTAAGAGAGTATATTTAATCTTTGGCATAACTTAGGGTACTTTTAAAATAAGCCAATTATTGATCTCAGGAAAGAGGATCAACTCTCGGCTTTTCCAACAATTATATTACATATTTTAATTGACAAAATTAATGGAATTGCGTTAGCTTAATGATGGGGTAGTCTTGTACGAGAAACTCAAAAATCACTGTGAGTGTCAACGGATTAAAAGATTTTAGTTGATTAGCACAACTTTAAATCGAAAAATGTGATCTTTTATTAAAATCTATCAATGATTATCTTTCTACCTTAATCCAAGTGTGTCATAAAATTGTTATACAGTTTAAATAAATTATTATCAAATTAAACGCATCTTCGTGGATTGGATAAGTCGATATCAGTGACACCTAGCGGTGATTGGGAGAACTGTTGCGAGCGTGTACGGTAGCGACATCTAGCAGGGGACCGGGCCTTGCTCAGTTAATTGGTTTTTAGCGTCAAAACAATATTGTAAACAAACACATTTTATAATTTACGAAAAACCTTTTTATTACAAACCATAGACGTGTTATCGCTGAAATAAGAAACAACTCTGTAGTGTTGTACCAGTATGCTTAATCTATGCTTGTACTCTGTAAAAGTATTCAATTTAAACAAAATACCCTAGCCGCAGCAAACCTGCCGACTAATCATATTTCCATTTGCCTGAATTGGTTTGCAATTAAATCCACTAAAATCCTACGATGCAAACGAGCTGAGGAAAGGGTTTTAAAGAAACACGCTTGCCTATTATAATATAAAAGCGGTGCAAATGGATGTCCACTTTCTAATGTTGATTAAATAAAGATGTTTTATTAACTTATTCATTTGGTGGATATATCTAAATTTTACCTTCCGTCGCTATTTAAACTAATACGCAAAGATTGCGCACAGCAAAATTTGCGTACAGCTGGAATTTAGCGAAGACTGCGTACAGTTTGTTATTAGTATTTCTGGTATTTCTTTGCTTTTGTTGACGTTATTTTTAATAAATAATTTAAATTGCTCCAGAGGTTTAACTCTGCTAAAGGCAGCAAACATGTTTGTGAATAAATATTGGTTTACTACGGTAGCTTTGGTCTTTTGTTTGATGATAATGATAATAAAAAGGCTTCCCTGATTGAAAGATTGGAAATCGTCTTCATCGAAACTGAAAAGGCAAATAAAGGTATGTTGAGATAAGCTTAGTTCTTGGCCAAAACCGCTAAATTAGCATCCCTACGAAGTTATCATTTCTAAGTTTATGCTCCTTTTGTAAAGGTTTAACAAAATTAGTGTAAAGTAAAGATTACCGGTGTGTAACTCATGGAGATACTCACGATGTACCTATATAACAGTAATCAACATTTCCTGTAAATATTTTATCATATTTCATAACCTGGTATTGATTTTTAATGTTTTCTACAATCTACAATCATTTCCTGACTTGTAGCCACGTAAGAGCGCTAGCGTATGGCCAACAAGCTAGGGCCCCTCAAGTACAACATGCACTACACCAAATTATGAGGTCCCAACTCTTTCAACAAAATATGATCCTCTCCTTCTGAAAAGTGAAAATCCGGAGTTTTAGCTATGGGGCCGTGTGTAAGGCCCCACAGTCCGTGGCAACCCCTGAGTGTGAGCTGATGCACACACACGGCCCTATAGTTAGATAGATCCATACACACACACAGACATCACTTCGAAAACCACTTTTTAGGTCCAGGGGGACCCAAAACGAATATATCCACTCAAAACTCAAACTCGAAAATTTTGACGGAAACAATACTTTCCCCATATACTATGGTATAGGGGGAGAAAGTAAAAATAAATAAGAACTGTGTGCATTTTCACTGAATGAAATAATAATAGCTTAAGTATGATTGAAATAGTTTTAACTAGCAAATATAATAATTAAATAAATAATAAATTAAGTGGCATATTATATTTCTTAGTGTATTGAGTCATATAACAATAATCATGCAATTTAAGTGTAATGTAGAACAGGGTTATGGGGTAAATAAATGACCGTGGTACGTAATATACTGAATAAGATAAATAAATATACAAAAATATAATAAAATAAAGGAATAAAAATTAATAACATGCATAAATAATTTAAGTTTTCTACGAGTACCTATAATACATTATTTGTTGAAGTCGTCCAGTTCATGCTGTGCAATGGTCCTGATGGCATCGTCATGTTCCTTGAGTTTGATGAGTATTTTCCCATTGGTGTAGCCCCATCCACCTTGTGGATCTTCCACTCACGCTGCACCCTTCTCGCTCGTCCCAGGTGAGTTATTAAGAATGGTCAGATGATGGTTGATGTAGACATTGCCTTTGATATCTGTAGTATTTAGATTTTTCTTTTATTCGCAGCGATGAGCCACATCTCTTTAGTGCTCCTATAGAAACAAACTGCGAAATGATAGGCGCGAACGTGTGATTTTGAGAGTACTGGCGCAGTCGATGGGCGATGGAAACATCCTCACTCTTGAAGTTGACTCCAAGGGCAGCGGCAATGTGTTGCAGAATATCGTATACATTTTCATTTGTAATCGTAGGTATACCCAGAACCTCGATATTGACCTGCTCGACGAGCTTGTTGTTTGCTTTTTCCAACTCACTGCAGCGTTCCTTTAAAGCTGACTGGGTTTGCTCCAAAGAAGAGACTTTTTTTGTCAAATGAGTGAAGTTCTGCAGTTCAATTTTCAATTCTCCAGACATCACACTACCTCCGCTGGATGATATCCCCTCTTGCACTCAAAACACTTTTCACTGACAGGCCACTCTGCACGTCACCTCCACACTGTCCACACGTAGACACCGTAATAGTTTATAAATAACAATAATGAAGTAAATTCATAAATTAATGTGAACGAATTGAATAAAAGTTTAAAACAGATAAACTAATTGGTAGATAGTGTAGCAGGCTGTGACCTGAGACTGGTAGATAAGCGGTTCACTGATACAGTAAGTGTCCTTCCTCATCGACGTCTGGACGCAACTGGATTTACACCCTACCTATAATTGTTAGAAATCCACCACAACTTTTTCCAATTACTTCGGTTAATGGGCAAGAAGTTATGACTGAAGTTGTTAACTGAGATTTGGTGGATGTGCTCATACAAATAGCATCGTGTTCACCAGTGACACTGGTAAGTGTCGGTGGACTCGCCCATTAATATGTGTCGGGTGGAATCGCCCATTGTTGCGCTTATGTTCACTCATCCCGTTACGCTCAGAATAAGCGTGCTACTATTTATAAGTGAAAGGAAATAGAATATGGATATTATTTTTGGTAAACACTTTTTATAGGTTGTTCCATGGAGAGTAGTACCGTAGCGAAGTCAACACTTCAACGGGCTTATAGCTGTAAAAAACCCAAAATTATGTCAGACGAAGCCGACGGGCAATGGCTAGTATTCTATATTTTTACATCTTCACTTTTTAAATTTATAAAAAAAAAAATTGAAGATAGTCAGGCAGCTAAAAACTGGCATGTTTTGCTAATGTTTGAACAGTAATGAACAGATTAGTTCGATTGATTGATTAATAAGATATTTTTATTTACTTTTGTAATTTTTATTAGTAAACTTGAAGTGAAATCGACAAATATGTTTTTACGTCTTTATTTTTTAAATTGATATCTTTACGAGAAGTAAAAAGTTGACAGTCAGTCAGTTTAAACTGCCATGCTGCTTGCAAATGCCAGAACAGCAATCAACATGACAGTTTGATTGATTGATATTCCCTAACAACCAATAGGAGCACACAAGTGTTTGTAGCGCAAATTGGTAAAAATATCCAACCTAAAATTCAAAACATTTACTACTGTACAAGTCTTGGAGCCACCAACCAAAATGATTCGTTTGGTTCTAGTTTCTTCTTTTATTTTGATCTTGGTAAATATTACTTTCATATATTTAAGTTTCCTATAGTTAGAGAAAGAGAAAAATCTTGTTTATAGTAGATTAAAAGTGAAAAAGGAAAAATTTTTACTGTTAATGAAATAACTTGATATGAATTGAAATTATTCCTACCTTTCCATAATTTTTCTTTTGTCATTGATTTATGAATACTAAATTAATATATTTTTTTAAGACAATCCATAATCTTGTTGTTTAAATTTTAATTCTTCTTTATTCTTCGCTACTTCAGGTGTTGTCCAAGTGTTAATTTAACTCATTAGTTCTTATCTCAGCCTCGGAGTTCCAAGCGATGTACTGTTTTCTGCTGTGTTTGTCCATATTTTAATAACGAAAGTAGTATGCTACCTCCATACACGTATTGTCCATCTCGGCCATATAGTTTCAGTCTGAGATAAAAGATCTGGGTATTTTCTGGGGATTCTCTGTATTTTCTGATTTTTGGCCTTTTTCATCTTTTACCAGACTAGATATTTTTCTTGGTTCATTGTTTTTTTTTTTAATAATCAGTTTCTCCTCACAACCCTTGATTATTGATTAATCCTCAAATTTATGGTCCATACAGTTGTACGGGGTGAATTATTGGATGTTATAATTTATATTAGCATTTATATTAGTAGTTCTGACTGGAGTAACTTAAGTATGGAACAGTAAAATGTAAAGCCAAAACAATTTTTTTTCAGATTGCATTTTTCTTCCGTACTGTGGCGTGTCTAATTATTTCACCAAGCTAGTTTAACTCATCATCAAAGGTCAAACTCAAAACTCTAGACTTTAAGGTTCTCTGATCTATTTATTCATCCTGTTTGGAGGACCTTCATGTGTTTAGTTTTTTCCAATTCTTTTTGTACTGACCTTGTGTTAGCTTCTTTATCAGGATCCTTTATAGGGTCACTAAACCATTTCTGTTCTCTGAAAAAATCACTACATCATCAGCAAACGCAAGAACACTATTTTCCCAGTAAATATAAATTTGAATGATTTATTAGTGTTTATTAAGGCACCATAATTGAGATAGACATGCAAACAAAATAAACATGGTAAAATGCACAAAAGTGTTGTTTTCTTATTTGTTTTCTCTAGCATTTTTACTGATGCCATACCGTCGGCGTGCTTCAACATTAGAGAGAGTAGTCACCCCCTGGATAAAATATAAATAAAAGAATTCTTAATAATGCTAATTTCGTATGATACTGCACACGTGATGCACCTCTATTAGAGTCATGGTATGTAATAAATTTACAAAGAGTGCAACATTCGTACAGAACCGGTACTTAAACATTTTCTATACTAGAGACTTTCTAATTTTTCAGGGTTCCTACGAAGTTAAAGGTGCACCAAATTACCTTTCACTCAAGAATGACGAGACACGTCCTCCCTATCGATCAATCGGTAAGTAACCAAACTGTTTTAGACATAACCCTACTATAACAAAATATTTGAGCATATGACTTTCCTATTAAGAGTTTTTATCACCGTGACCGTAAGAATAGCGCTGGATCATCAGGCATTTACGGTGAATAACAACAAAAGTAGCCAAACACTTAAAGCAAAACCCAACTCTAACGATAACTTTTCTTGATTCCCTCACGATTCTAGACACACCCACTAAAACCATTAGTGAAAGTACAATAAAGCTACAAAATATATAAACAATATGTAAATATAAATTAATTGAACATCTCCTAAAAAAGAAAGATTATACAATCCCTAGGGTCCGCAATCGCCCGTACACGGACACACACACACACACACCCACAACAAATCATTGTGTTCAGGGGTTTGGGTTCAAAACGTATTTTTACACCCAAAACTAAAAACCTGAAAATTTCGAAGAAAACAATAGTTTCTCCACATACTATGTAAATGAAGAGAAAGTAAAAATGTGAAGACTCACCTCGTGCGGCCTTTATACAAACATATAGGTAGCGCATGAATTTATCAGTGGAAGTGATATTGATGTAATTAAATCATTATTTTGTATTGTGGTTTCAGAAGGAAAAGATCTTTTGGGTTTGGCTGGTGGTGCTATGATCTTTGCTGGTGGTGTTGTGAAAACTGCTGGGGTGGTTAACCTGGGTCTGGCGCCATTATATTTTGCTCCACCAGTTGCTGCGGGAGTGTGCCTGACGTACTTAGTTGTGAGTTACGGATTAAAAAAAACTAAGGAAGCTGCGGGTTACGTAACAGAAAAAGCTCAGGAAGCTGCGAGTTACGTAACAGAAAAAGCTCAGGAAGCTGCCGTATCCGGAGTAAACGATGAAAGCAAGAAATTGTCGTAAAAACAAGCAGATGAATTGAATAGTGCCTTTTGGTGTGAAAAACTTATGGCATTAAATTTTGATTAGACAATTTGATGTACTTAATATTTCAGTCCCTGTATTTATTGCACATCAGTATGCTGTATTTTCAGTTGCACATCAGTATACAGTATTTTCAGTTGCACATTAGTGTACAGTATTTTCAGTTGCACATTAGTATACAGTATTTTTCAGTTGCACATTAGTAAACAGTATTTGCAGTTGCACATTAGTATACAGTATTTTCAGTTGCACATTAGTATACAGTATTTTAAGTTGCACATCAGTATATAGTATTTTCAGTTGCACATTAGTATACAGTATTTTCAGTTGCACATCATTATATAGTATTTTCAGTTGCACATTAGTATACAGTATTTTTAGGTGTGCCGCATGGAGCTGGATTATGTGAAGAGCTTCCATTTCTTTCCCAACCAACGTGATGTGATTGTGATGCACTTGTGTGTGCATGGTACCTGGGGCTGATATAGCCTTATCACTCTAATTATATCCTCTCTATATATTGTATATATATTCTATATATATATTGACACCGGTAGGTGTGGGTGGGACTCGCCCATTAATATGTGCTGGGTGGGATCGCCCAATAATATGTGCAGGGTGAGATCGCCCATTAATATGTGCCGGGTGGACTCGCCCATTAATATGTGCCAGGTGGACTCGCCCATTGTTGCACTTAAGTTCACTCTACCCGTTACGCTCAGAGTTAGCGTGCTACTAGTTACAAGTGAAAGGAAATAGAACATGGATATTATTTTTGGTAAACACTTTGTGTAGGTTGTTCAGAGAGAGTAGTTCCGTAGCGAAGTAAAAACTTCAACGGGCTTATAGCATAGCTGTAAAAACCCCTAAAAGTATGTCAGACGAAGGGGACGGGCAATGGCTAGTATTTTACATCTTCACTTTTTAAATTTATTTGTTATAAAAAGTTGAAGATAGTCATGCAGGTAAAAACTGGCATGTTTTGCTAATGTTTGAACAGTAATGAACAGATTAGTTCGATTGATTAATTAATAGGATATTTTTATTTACTTTTGTAATTTTTATTAGTAAACTTGAAGTGAAATCAACAAATATGTTTTACGTCTTTATTTTTTAAATTGATATATTTAAGAGAAGTAAAAAAGTTGATAGTCAGTCAGTTTAAACTGCCATGCTGCTTGCAAATGCCAGAACAGCAATCAACATGACAGTTTGATTGATTGATATTCCCTAACAACCAATAGGAGCACACAAGTGTGCGCAAATTGGTAAAAATATCCAACCTAAAATTCAAAACATTTACTAGTGTACAAGTCTTGGAGCCACCAACCAAAAATGATTCGTTTGGTTCTAGTTTCTTCTTTTATTTTGATCTTGGTAAATATTACATCCATATATTTAAGTTTCCTATAGTTAGACAAAGAGAAAAATCATGTTCATAGTATGGATTAAATGTGTAAAAGGAAAAATTTTTACTGTTAATGAAATAACTTGATTTGAATTGAAATTATTCCTACCTATCCATAATTTTTCTTTTGGCATTGATTTATGAATACTAAATTAATATATTTTTTAAGACAATCCATAATCTTGTTGTTTGAATTTTAATTCTTCTTTATTCTTCGCTACTTCAGGTGTTGTCCAAGTGTTTCAATATAATTTAGCACTTTAGTTCTTATCTCAGCCTCGGAGTTCCAAGCGATGTACTGCTTTCTGCAATGTTTGTCCATATTTTAATAACGAAAGTAGTATGCTACCTCCATACACGTCTTGCCCATCTCAGCCTTATAGTTTCAGTCTGAGATAAAAGATCTGGGTATATATATTCTCTGTATTTTCTGATTTTCTAGCCTTTTTCATCTTTTACCAGACTAGATATTTTTCTTGGTTCTTTGTTTTTTTAAATAATCAGTTTCTCCTCGATTCAACATTAGAGAGAGTAGTCACCCCCTGGATAAAATATAAATAAAAAATACTTAATAATGCTAATTTCGTATGATACTGCACACGTGATGCACCTCTATTAGAGTCATGGTATGTAATAAATTTACAAAGAGTGCAACATTCGTACAGAACCGGTACTTAATCATTTTCTATACTAGAGACTCTCTAATTTTTCAGGGTTTCTACGAAGTCAAAGGTGCACCAAATTACCTTTCACTCAAGAATGACGAGACACGTCCTCCCTATCGGTCAATCGGTAAGTAACCAAACTATTTTAGACATAGCTCTACTATAACAAAATATTTGAGCATATTATTTTCCTATTAAGAGTGTTCTTCACTGTGGCTATAAGAATAGCGCTGGATAATCAGGCATTTACAGTGAATAACAACAAAGGTAGCCAAACACCTAAAGCTAAACCCAACTCTAACGATAACTTTTCTTGATTCCCTCACGATTCTAGACACACCCATTAAAACCATTAGCGAAAGTACAATAAAGCTGCAGAATATATAAACAATCTGTTAATATAAATAAACTGAACATCTCCTAAAAAAGAATATTAAACAATCCCTGGTGTCCGCATTCGCCCGTACACCAACAAACACACACACACACACACACACAACAAATCATTGGGTTCAGGGCTACTCAAAACGCATTTTTACACCCAAAACTAAAAACCTGAAAATTTCGAAGTAAACAATAGTTTCTCCACATACTATGTAAATGGGGAGGAAGTAAAAATGTGAAGACTCACCTCGTGCGGTATTTATACAAACATATAGGTAGCGCATGAATTTATCAGTGGAAGTGATATTGATGTAATTAAATCATTATATTGTATTGTGGTTTCAGAAGGAAAAGATCTTTTGGGTTTGGCTGGTGGTGCTATGATCTTTGCTGGTGGTGTTGTGAAAACTGCTGGGGTGGTTAACCTGGGTCTGGCGCCATTATATTTTGCTCCACCAGTTGCTGCGGGAGTCTGCCTGACGTACGCAGTTGTGAGTTACGGATTAGAAAAAACTAAGGAAGCTGCGGGTTACGTAACAGAAAAAGCTCAGGAAGCTGCGAGTTACGTAACAGAAAAAGCTCAGGAAGCTGCCGTATCCGGAGTAAACGATGAAATAAGCAAGAAATTGTCGTAAAAACAAGCAGATGAATTGAATAGTGCCTTTTGGTGTGAAAAACTTATGGCATTAAATTTTGTTTAGACAATTTAATGTACTTAATATTTCAGTCCCTGTTTTTTTTGCACATCAGTATGCTGTATTTTCAGTTGCACATTAGTATACAGTATTTTCAGTTGCACATTAGTATACAGTATTTTCAGTTGCACATTAGTATACAGTATTTTCAGTTGCACATCAGTATACAGTATTTGCAGTTGCACATTAGTATACAGTATTTTCAGTTGCACATTAGTATACAGTATTTTCAGTTGCACATCAGTATATAGTATTTTCAGTTGCACATTAGTATACAGTATTTTTAGGTGTGCCGCATGGAGCTGTATTATGTGAAGAGCTTCCATTTCTTTCCCAACCAACGTGATGTGATTGTGGTGCACTTGTGTGTGCATGGTACCTGGGGCTGATATAGCCTTAGCACTCTAATTATATCCTTTCTATATATTGTCTATATATTCTATAATATATATTGACACCGGTAAGTGCGGGTGGGACTCGCCCATTAATATGTGCTGGGTGGGATCGCCCATTAATATGTCCTGGGTGAGATCGCCCATTACAGTAATATGTGCCGGGTGAGATCGCCCATTAATATGTAACAGGTGGACTCGCCCATTGTTGCACTTAAGTTCACTTTACCCGTTACGCTCAGAGTTAGCGTGCTACTAGTTATAAGTGAAAGGAAATAGAACATGGATATTATTTTTGGTAAACACTTTGTGCAGGTTGTTCAGAGAGAGTAGTTCCGTAGCGAAGTCAAAACTTCAACGGGCTTATAGCATAGCTGTAAAAAATCATAAAAGTATGTCAGACGAAGGGGACGGGCAATGGCTAGTATTCTATATTTTTACATCTTCATTTTTTAAATTTATTTGTTATAAAAAGTTAAAGATAGTCAGGCAGCTAAAAACTGGCATGTTTTGCTAATGTTTGAACAGTAATGAACAGATCAGTTTGATTGATTGATTAATAGGATATTTTTATTTACTTTTGTAATTTTTATTAGTAAACTTGAAGTGAAATCGACAAATATTCTTTTACGTCTTTATTTTTTAAATTGATATCTTTACGAGAAGTAAAAAAGTTGATAGTCAGTCAGTTTAAACTGCCATGCTGCTTGCAAATGCCAGAACAGCAATCAACATGACAGTTTGATTGATTGATATTCCCTAACAACCAATAGGAGCACACAAGTGTGCGCAAATTGGTAAAAATATCCAACCTAAAATTTAAAACATTTACTACTGTACAAGTCTTGGAGCCACCAACCAAAAATGATTCGTTTGGTTCTAGTTTCTTCTTTCATTTTGATCTTGGTAAATATTACATCCGTATCTTTAAGTTTCCTATAGTTAGAGAAAGAGAAAAATCATGTTCATAGTAGATTAAAAGTGAAAAAAGGAAAAATCTTTACTGTTAATGGTTTTTACTGTAAACTTGGGATGAATTGAAATGATTGCCACCGATCCATAATTTTTCTTTTGTCATTGATTTATGTTTACTGGATTAATATTTTTTTAAGACAAACCATAATATTGTAGTTTACATTTTAATACGGCTTTGATAGATTATGGTTTACCGTACCTGACATCAGATGAAACCTAAGCAGAGTTTTAACCCCACCAACGGCGACCCTTCTTTCTTCTCTTTTCTTTTCAGGTGTTGTCCAAGTGTTAATTTAGCTCTTTAGTTTTTATCTCAGCCTCGGAGTGTCAAGCGATGTACTGTTTTCTGCTGTGTTTCTCCATATTTTAATAATGGAAGTAGTATGCTACCTCCATACACGTCTTGTCCATCTCGTCTGAGCTAAAAGATCTGGGTATATATATTCTCTGTTTTTCTGATTTTCCAGCCTTCTTCAGCTTTTACCAGACTAGATATTTTTCTTGGTTCTTATGGATATTTTATAAATATTATTTTTTTAATAATCAGTTTCTCCTTACAACAATTGTTGATTACAACAACCTCACAACCTGCATTGATTAATCCTCAAGTTTATGGTCCATACAGTTGTACGGGTTAAATTATTGGATGGTATAATTTATATTAGCATTTATATTGGTAGTTTTGACTGGAGTAACTTAAGTATGGACCAGTAAAAAGTGAAGCTAAAACAATTAATTGTTTTACCAAGCTAGTTTAACTCATAAGGTCGAACTCACAACTCTTCACTTTAAGGGGTTCTGATCTATTTATTCATCATGTTAGGAAGACCTTCATGCATTTAGTTTTTTTCGGTTATTTTTTTGTTTGACTTTGTGTTAGCTCCTTCATCCCCACTTATCCATTTCTGTTCTCTGCAAAAATCACCACATCATCAGCAAACGCAAGAACACTATTTTCCCAGTAAATATAAATTTCAATGATTTATTAGTTGTTATTAAGGCACCATAATTGAGATGGACATGCGAACAAAATAAACATGGTAAAATGCACAAAAGTTTTGTTTTCTTATTTGTTTTCTCTAGTATTTTTACTGATGTCATATTTGTTATAGCCGTCAGGGTGCTTCAGCATTAGAGAGAGTAGTCACCCCCTGGATAGAATATATAAAAACAAAAATACTTAAATAATACTAATTTCATATGATACTGCACTCGTGATGCACCTCTATTGGAGTCATGGTATGTAATAAATTTACAAAGAGTACAACATTCGTACAGAACCGGTACTTAAACATTTTGTATACTAGAGACTTTATAATTTTTCAGGGTTCCTACGAAACCAAAGGTGCACCAAATGACCTTCCACTCAAGAATGACGAGGCACGTCCTCCCTATCGATCGATTGGTAAGTAACCAAACTGTTTTAGACATAACTCTACTATAACAAAATATTTGAGCATATGATTTTCCTATTAAGAGTTTTTATCACCGTGACCGTAAGAATAGCACAGGATCAGGCATTTACGGTGAATAACAACAAAGGTAGCCAAACACATAAAGCTAAACCCAACTCTAACGATAACTTTTCTTGATTCCCTCACGATTCTAGACACATCTATTTAATCCATGAGCGAAAGTACAATAAAGCTACAAAATATATAAACAATATGTAAATATAATTTAATTGAACATCTCCTAAAAAAGAAGACTATACAATCCCTAGTGTCCGAAATAGCCCGTACACCAACAAACACACTCACACAAAACACATCTTTGGGTTCAGGGCTACTCAAAACGTATATTTACACCTAAAACTCAAACTCTAAAATTTCGAAGAAAACAATACCTTCTCCATTTACTATGTAAATGGGGAGAAAGTAAAAATGTGAAGACTCACCTCGTGTGGCCTTTATAAAAAACATATCGGTAGCGCATGAATTTATCATTAATACGTACCTAAGATTACTTAAGATTTTATCATTGGAAGTGATATTGATAACATTACATTTTATATTGTATTGAGGTTTCAGAAGGAAAAGGTCTTTGGAATTTGGTTGATGGTGTTGTGAAAACTGCTGGGGCGATTAACTTGGGTATGGCGGTATTATATTTCGCTCCACCAGTGGCTGCGACAGTCCTGACGTACAGAGTTGTGAATTACGGAATAGACAAAACTTATGAAGCTGCGGGTTACGTAACAGAAAAAGCTCAGGAAACTGCCAGTTACGCTGCTGGTTATGTAGCAGATAAAGCTCAGGAAGCTGCCGTAAACGCGATCAAAGATGAAATAAACAAGAAATTTTCGTAAAAACGAGCAGATGAGTTGAATAGTGCCTTTTAGTGTGAAAACCCTGGCATTAAATTTCGTTTAACCAAATAAATGTACTTATTATTTCATTCCCTGTATTTATTGCACATCAGTATCCAGTATTTTCAGTTGCACATCAGTATACAGTATTTTCAGTTGCACATCTATTTTTAATTGCAAATTAGTATACAATATTTTCAGTTGCACATTAGTATACAGTATTTTTAGGTGTGCACGTGAAGAGCTTCCATTTCTTTCCCAACCAACGTGATGTGATTGTGATGAGTTTGGTGTATTTGAAAGGTAAGAGGCAAAAGAGACACAAGACTGCTAAGGTGCTACTGAACCCGAAATTTGTATCAAAAGAGAAATTTAAGAGAGGAGAATATCACTGACGATAGAGTTACACCAGACAAATATAACTTTAAATCAACAGCAGCCATGGATCGAACAAAAAGGAAAGTTAAATTTAGAAAGGTTGTGTTGTGAGAACAGTTTATTTCATAACACCTGTTAATTTATATGAATTATTATCATATGTTTATTTGTTATTCTATGTTTGTAGAAAGGTAAATAAAGTTAGTTGAGTTTGAGTTATGACATAAAACAGTCCATTCACTTAATTCCTAGTAAAATAGTACATGGTGGCAGCGGTTTAGAGCTATGCCTCAGAAGAGAAATCCAAGAAGGAAACAATCTGACTATGAAGATAATGAAAATGAAAGAAGCAGAGAAAATGAATACAACAATTCAACTAAGAAGTCAATCATTGTATCAAACACTCATTCAGTTATTCAACCTCCAGCTAGTTTCTCCTTTGTACCAGCAGATTGGCCAAGATGGAAAACAAGATTTCAAAGATATCGGTCAGCATCTGGGCTATCTGAAGAGTCTGAGAACAAACAAATCAACACTCTTATATACACATTAGGTGAGAAAGCTGATGAGATTTTTGCATCTTTTAATTTAGCAACCGAATCAACGCTAACATTTGAAGAAGTCTTAGATTTATTTGACAAACATTTTATTCCACGGAGAAACTTAATTTTTGAAAGAGTAAAGTTTTTGAAGAGACAACAAAAAATTAATGAAACAGTTGAAGAGTTTATAGTTAGTCTCCATTCCTTGGCTAGAACCTGTGACTGGGGTTCACTTAATGATGAAATGGTGTTGATGGTACTAATACTGGGTTTAAATGATGAGAAACTTAGTGATCGCTTGTTGCTAGATCCCGAGATGAATTTAGACAAGGCCATTACAGTTATAAGACATGCAGATAACGTAAAGAAAGAGAAGGCAGATTTATGTGATGAGAAAAGAGTTCAAATTGAAGCAACTACGTCATCGAGTTCAAACCAAAATCAAGGATATAGGTTTCGTCAAAAGAAACAAGAATACCCAGCGCAATGTATCTGGTGTGGTTATAAACCGTCCCATCCAAGAAGCACGTGTCCAGCAAAAAGCGCAACATGTAACTTATGCAAAAAGATTGGTCACTTTTCGAAGGTCTGCAGATCTAAAGAAGCACAGGAAGTAACTGATGAAAATGAAGTAAGTGAACTTGGACCTTCAAATAATAAAGTATTCATAGGTACACTTGGGGATGGGTCAAAATGTAAGCCTTGGAAACTAGAATTAGTATTTGAGGGAAAACCACAAACATTTAAAATTGATTCAGGGGCAGATGTAACAGTAATTCCCCCTGGCATAGTTGATCCAAGTAGGATCCAGCCGACTCTAGTTGAGTTGTTTGGGGCTGGTAGAACAAAATTAGAAACTGTAGGTTGTGTTAGAGCTAATATCCAATACAGAGATGTTAAAATAAATCACATTGTATACGTAGTGAAGGGACTCATAACACCCTTGCTTGGTCGTCCAGCAATACAGGACTTGAAAATTTTAACTTTTGTTAATTCAGTTGCAAAGGTAGACAGTGACTTTTTTACCGAATACCATGAAATGTTTAGTGGTCTGGGCGTCATTCCTGATCCCTACACAATAGCACTTAAGGATGGTGCAAAGCCATACACAATAACCACTCCTAGGACAGTACCTTTACCCCTAATGTGTCAAGTGAAAAAAGAACTAGAAAGTATGATACAAAATAATGTAATCACACCAGTTGAGCATGCTACTGAATGGTGCTCAGCAATGGTAGTAGTGCCTAAATCTAATGGAGATGTCCGCATATGTGTTGACTTAACAAAGTTGAATGAATCCATCCAGCGGTCTTATCATCCGATTCCCAAAATTGAAACGTCTCTCAGCTCAATCTCAGGAGCAAAATGGTTTTCAAAACTTGATGCAAACAGTGGTTTTTGGCAAGTCCCCTTAAATGTAAATTCCCAGGATCTAACTACTTTCCTTACCCCCTTTGGACGTTTTAAATTTCTCAAACTTCCATTTGGAATCACATCAGCACCTGAACATTTTCAGAAATGCATGAACAAAATCTTAGACAACCAGTCAAATGACGCAGTCCATATGGACGATATTCTGATTTGGGGCAAAACGAAAGAAGAACATGATACAGTTGTTCGGCAAGTACTTGAAAAGCTTAAAAATGTAGGAATGACACTTAACAAAGACAAAACTGAGTTTGGGAAGTCAAGTATTAAATTCCTCGGGCATTTCCTCTCATCCGATGGAATTTCTGTTGATAAGGAAAAGGTTTCCGCCATTCTCAAAATGGACTGCCCAAAAAACGTAAAAGAACTTCAAAGGTTCAATGGGATGGTAAACTTTCTTGGTAAGTTTATTCCTGACAAAGCTAAGATTTTGGCCCCAATGAATTCACTACTTCAAGCTAACGTTCCATGGATATGGGGTCCTGAGCAGGAGAAGGCATTTGATGAAATAAAACTCATTTTGACTAACTCTCCTTGCCTAGCCATTTACGATGTAAATCGGGAAACAATTATCTCCTGTGATGCCTCGCTTCAAGGACTAGGATCAACTCTTTCTCAAGTTCAAGATGATGGTTCCATACGACCAGTATCATTTGCATCCCGAAGCCTTCTACCTTCTGAAAAAAACTATGCAAACATCGAGAGGGAGGCTACAGCTGTTGCTTGGGCATGTGAAAAGTTTCAAGAATTTATTATTGGCAAGAGAATAACAATACAAACAGATCACAAACCACTACTTCAAATTTTGAAATCCAAACATCTTGATGAATTGTCTCCAAGAATTCAAAGAATTCGATTGCGTCTCATGAGATATGATTTTTCAATTACTTATATTCCTGGAAAGCAGCTTCTAGTTCCTGATGCTCTTTCAAGAGCACCTCTCCCATTTTCAGGTACTGATGACCGTGAGTTAGAAGAAGAAACTCAAGCGTTTGTTCAAATGGTTTTGTCGTCCATCGATATAAACGACTGCATAGTTGCTAAAGTATTGGAGGAACAAAATAAAGATCCGACTTTACGTGAACTGAAAAAAATAATCATCCAAGGTTGGCCTTCTAAGACATCATTACGAGATGACCTAAAACCGTATAATTCAGTTAAGGATGAGCTAAGTGTTGATAATGAGATGATACTACGAGGTTCAAGACTTGTAATTCCGCCAGCTCTGCAGTCTTGGGCACTTCAAAGAGTACATGAAGGTCATTTTGGAATCACCAAGTGTCGTTTACGTGCAAAAGAGTCAGTCTGGTGGCCAGGAATTTCTTCAGCCATTGAAAGTATGGTGAAATCATGCCCTACTTGTATTAAACATTCAAGGAACAGTCATGAACCATTGCTTCCCACACAATTCCCTGACAGGCCATGGAAAACACTTGCGATGGATTTGTTCAAACTTGAAGGGGTTTGGTTTTTGACTGTGACAGATTATTACTCCAGATATTTTGAGATAGCTGAATTAGAGTCATTAACATCACGAGAAGTAATAATGAGATGCAAAGCCTTTTTCTGTCGACACGGCATTCCAGAAGAAATTAGGTCTGACTGTGGGTCTCAATTTCAAGCCCTTGAACATTCAGATTTCAAGACATTTTCCAAAGTTTATGGCTTCAAGCATATAACAAGTAGCCCAAAATTTTCCCAAAGCAATGGAGAGGCTGAAGCGGCAGTGAAAATCGCCAAAATGATTCTAAAGAAAAATGTGGAAGACCCTTATTTGGCGCTTCTAGCCTATCGAACGACACCCCTCTGGAATGGGTTCAGTCCCTCTCAGCTTCTTATGAACAGGCGATTACGGAGCACATTGCCTCAGACAGGACATTTGCTTTGTGGAAAACCAGATCTAAAGGATCTTAAAGGGAGAGAAGAAACATATCGTGAGAAGTACAAACACAACTATGATAGAAGGCACAAAGTGCACACTCTCAATCCTCTTCATATAGGAGACCCAGTTTGGATTGTGGACCTTAGAAGACATGGCAAAATTGTGAAAATCCTGGACAGCCCTCGTTCATACATTGTTGAAACTGATAAGAGGAATGTGAGAAGAAATCGATTCCACCTCAAAATCGATTCCACCTCAAACTTGCCCCTTATTTAAGAGAGGAAAACAGTGAACAAAATTTGTCAGCAAATACACATCAAACAGAACCATACAACCGTCCAAAGAGAAATATACACAAACCAAGCTGGTTGAAGAACTTTCAAACTTAAAAGGGAGGATGTTGTGAGAACAGTTTATTTCATAACACCTGTTAATTTATATTAATTATTATCATATGTTTATTTGTTATTCTATGTTTGTAGAAAGGTAAATAAAGTTAGTTGAATTTGAGTTATGACATAAAACAGTCCATTCACTTAATTCCTAGTAAAATAGTACAGGTTGCATTAAAAAAAGTAGATGAATCTAAGATTGTGTAAAATTAAATAAAATCATTTGCCTAATTTTATAACAGCTACATGCAATTTTTTTCTACACACACGCACACTCACTTGACAACTATCTTTTTGTCACGGTTTTCTCCTCGTTCTTCTTCTCAGGTCCACGGACTCGAAGTCTCGTCACCCCTCCATCTTCTCCAATACCCTACTCATTAGCTGATTATGAAGGGAGTGTAGGGTATGGTATGGCTTAGGTTAGCGTCTTTTCTC